ACGAAGTTACGGAAAAATCAATTAACAAGCAGAGACGTGACAATATGTTAGAGTGAGATTAACAGTTTGGAAGAGATAAGGAGAATAATCTGTCTCACTAAAGGCTGTTCTAAACTAATTGATCCTAATTGTGTGGACTTTGACAAAAGGCAGAGGATTATTGGAAGTTCAGAATACAACTGCGGTAACTCACACAACAATATAAGTGAATTATACACAGATACTATTCGATAAAAATAAATAGTTTGGCTTGTCAACTGAATTCTAAAGCAACTGAATTATAGTTTTTGATAATACAAAGAACACTTCTGAATAAAAAATGAGATGAACACGATTTATTTTGCCCTTTTTTCTTTATTTATCATACATTCTGTATCATTTTGATGAAAAATTATACAAAGACTTCTGTTTGACATGGGCCCTTTGAAAACAAGTGACAATCATTTAAAAAAAAGAGAGTGCAAACTTTTTCTCAAAGAGGTAATTTAAAAACAAAAAAAGGATCTCCTTCTTCCTTTTTTTCAAAAACTCTGGATGCTATACATGTTTTTTCTTTTACTTGGCCTAAAGTATATATGGAATAAATGCTGCGAGTCTCAGAGTTTATTTTTGATAATGAACTTAACGTAAGTAAGCCAACAACATCAGTACTTAACCAACTGAGTTACCATCTATCAGTACTTCAAATATGATTCAGAAAACTCAGTTTTGAAATTCAAGCCATAAAAATACATTTATTTGTTTTGAAATTAAAGATGAAATCTAATATTAATAGAATGATATTCAGCCTAGAACTAGATCTAAGCACACACAGTTGCTCTCTTTAGAACAGTGATTCTCAACCAGGGGTAAATTTACACCTTGGGGGTAAAAATTTACATGGCATGGGGAAAATAACTGAATGATGATTGAATAACAATTCAATTAAATTTCATTTTGTAAAATGTGTGTGTGTGAGAGAGAGAGAGAGAATGCTAAGAATGTGTGTGTGTGTGTGCTATTTTTGTGCAAAACCTTAATAATATTTGTTTTTCTGACCTTCTTGTTTTTCTGTCCGTTTATTATGGCTAGGAATTTTTTGTATGGAAGTAAGGGGGTAAATGGAGAAATACATCAAGCCGAGGGGGTTAATGATGGAGGAAAAGTTGAGAATCCCTGCTTTAGAATATGTGAGAATAGTCCTGATAAATGTAAGACCAGAAATAATCTACCTGCTGAAGATCCATTTGGTTTCTGAAATATTAGTCTTAGAGGTTATTGTTACAAACTTTGAAAGCCTAAAAATGTACTTTTTCAAAACAAAATTGTCTAGCCCTTTGGGTGGAAACTTGTAAAATAGTTTGTTGAATATGTAGCATGAGCTTTTAGTACAGATTCTTTCAAATATTTTTTTTAGATAAGCTGAGGGACAGAAAGAACTTTTTTTTGTATATATATTTATACATATATATTCTGGAATATGTATGGCTGCAAGAAATGATGATTGAGTTACAGTGGGTTTGTTTCTTTTTTACATATATTCTAAACTTATATAGCCACCAACTTTAAAATTAAAAATTAATGTTTTGACTGGATAAGCCCATCAATAATGTAACATTGATATTATAGAATTTGTAATGTATTATTGATGTAGTAAAAAGGTAAATCTTATTCTATTTACCGTTAAAAATTAAATGGTCCAAAAGGTTTCATGTGTTTGTACCATCATTAAACATTAAAAATCTACAAGATTTTAATTTTAATTCCTAAGTTTGTCATTATCAAATTCAAAATGACCCATGCAGTTCTTTTAGGAATGAGCATAATGTATTACTGGTGTAGCAGCAGTTTACATTGTTTACAAGGAAAGAGTCCTTAGTATGGAGCACAAAATGGTCCATAATGTTTTTAACCCTTTTTGTGTGTAAATGCAGTAAATTATTTGCTTGTTTGTACTTTGCTGATCACAGTTATCAAATTAAATTTTTAGCATCATAAGGCCTCAGAGTTATTATTGAGCCACTAAGAGCATAGTAAATTATTATTGAAATTTCAAATTTTTATTAGATTTATTCATGCATTTTAATAAAGCAGTAGTTGTTTTTTGTAAATATTTTTACATAACATTACGTGTTCCTTTTTTTTCCCATGGATCTCATCACTATCATTGAGCTTGTGCCATAAAAAGTGTACTCTTTTCAAAGAAAAATAACAGGTAATCAAAACAATACCATGTTCAATGAGCTTCAGACATTTCTTGACAAACTACTGGGCCAGTTTTGACAAGATATATCTCAAGGAATACTAAAAACTGCCATTTTACTTACAATATGTAATAAAATCAGTATGTACCAACAAATGGTGTATTCATAATAAAATTTCTTCATTGCTGTCTTCACTGACAGCCGACAGATAAAACATACTAACCTTTGATCAATGACATAACCTCATATGATAGTAGATCAAATAAAAATGAATTACCCTGATAACTGTTTACAAATTACACCAGTAATACGTTACAAGATGATACAACCACATCAGTATAGACCTGATTCATTTTGTCTTTTCTTTATTTGTCATAAATTCTGTATCGCTTTGATGAAAAAATGAAACAAAGACTTCTGTTTCACATGGACCCTTTGAAAACAAGTAACAATCATTAAAAATAGGGTGCAAACTTTCTTTAAAAGAAGTCATTTAAAAATAAAAAAGGACTTCCTTCCTTTTTTCAAAAATTCTGGATGCTAATTATTTTCTTGTGTAATAAGTTACAAGATGATACAACCACATCAGTATAGGCTAATATCTTGAAAGTGATACAAAATATATTTCTACAAAAATACTAATAATACAATAGCTTCACAAATATTGAAATAAATATATAATGTACATACTTCCACTGAGGCTATAATAAAGTAAAAAAAAAAAGTCTTGCTGGCTTCACTGTTACAGTATAACTTACAAGTTACTTTTTTACTCTAAACTCTATAAAGTTTTATTATTATTAAGCTAGTAATACATAATTTAGTAGTGTTAAATGAAGTTTAATTTTCGATACGAGATAGAATTTTACAATTATATTTCATCGAGTTTTTAGTTTCAAAACTTCTGTTAAAATTATTTCAACAAAATTTCACTCTAAACTCAAACAGTAAATTAAAACATACTCTAGTCTATGTTAAAATTAAATCAATCACATGTGAACTTACTCTGTTGAATCTGGGCCTGACAGAAACGCAGTTAACATGATAAAAATTAAATCTGTCATATTTTTGTTTTTGCTAGACTCAAAAAATTCTAAACGACTTTACTGTAACAACGCTCTGTCTTTTAAACTATTTCACATTTATTCATGATATTAAGTTAAAATAGTGATCAGGCCCAAGTTCAACATACTGTATTTATTAAGTTTGCCTAGCTAAGCTTATTTTCGAATGCTTGAGTTATTGTGAATCTGTTGCCATGGTTATTACCCTCTAGTGTCATTTAGTAAATTTACCAGATATTTATGTGGAAAACAAAATTTAAAAAGATCAGTTTCAAAAAGATTGTGTATAATAAAACATAAATTTGGAGAAATAATTTACAAAATAGACAGAGTTTCATCTAGATAGATTGAAAGTTACAACACTAATTGTTATATGTTTACTAGAAATCAATAATATATATAATATAATGTATATGGACAAGGGACCCATTGGTCCATCTAGGCTGTCCAATCCTCTAAACTAAACTAAAACTATTTTAAAAAAACACATCAAAGCCAGTTCTTATCATTCACATAGATATCAAGCTCTCTCTTAAACTCACTTAAATTTACTGCCTCCACAACATCTGAAAGCAACCCGTTCTAAAGGCCAAACACCCTGTTAGAAAAATATAACTGTCTTAACTAAAGATGACTCCTACCCTGCCAAAATTTATATTTGTGTCCCCTAATCTTACCATCTAACAATTAAGTATGAAAAAAGATGAAGCATCAACACTATCCATTTCCTTAATTATCTTAAACACCTCCATCAGATATCCTCTAACTCTTCTTTTTTTTCAAGAGAAAACAATTTCAGAGATCTTAACCTCAGTTTCAATGTCCTTGAAGGAGCGTAAGGCTGAACACAATAATCCAAATGTGTTGTTACGCCTCCAGTCGTTAGTTAATTTTCCGTAAATTCTTTCCGAATACAACTTTACGATACACTTAATTTCAACAGTCGCGCTAAAATTCTCAACGAACGTCTCCCGTGCTCAACTTCAACAATACTCTCTGACTGCAGTTCAATTATACATTACATACACATTGTTCCGTCACGTTGTGACGATCTTATATATACCAGCCTACCCCCAATCTAGTAATCTCCCGACAATTCACGAAGGTTCCAGAAAGAAGCACGTTGATACTAGTCACGTGACCTCGGTGACGCAACACTGCCCCTCCTTAGTATTGTTCGTTCCGAACAATAGCCACTTACATTAAACCAATAACAATTAACAATAACTTAATTAAATGTACAGAATTACAAACACAAAATTACAATTCAACAAAGTCTCTTAATTTTACGGGACGTATATTCTTCCGTACTGGTCTCCGTCTCGTTGGCTTCTGCTTCATATGGGGTTCATCTGCTTCATCAAATGTCCTATCATCGGTAACAGTTACATCAGTGGTAGTAACTTCAT